AAAAATCTACCCTTATATTATGTTTTTAAGGTTGACCCCAATTAAATATTTTAATCTCGTGGGTGAGAACTTGCATTCTTAGACCCATGCTAATTTCCATTGACAGAGGTTACATCAATGGTCTTTGCTTACTTTGGGGTGGGGCTTGGTGTTCACATTCTGTGGTGAGATTGAAATGAAAGTTGTAGAAAAGTGAAACCTCTTCACCACTTAGTTTAAACAGCACATGGCTCCCAGGTCAATGGATTCATTTAATGTCACCTGAATTCCTAGAACTTACTACAAAGTTTATCTTCACAGTCCTTCGGGCAGTTTCCGCAGGGGGCGCCTCTCTGGTAAGGTTGCTTCTTTGTGTCAAGATTGTTTCCCCTTAAAGAAAAAAAAGTGATGTAATAAAATGAATGTTTGGCAAATGCATATAAATTTTTACCCACTGTGAACAATTTTAAAAACACCTTACATAAACATTTTTGCAAAGAACCAGTATTGCTTTGTAAGATGGCTGTGAAAATTTTAGAAATCCTACAGATAGGATTTCTTTTAATCTATACAACCAGCAAATACGGGTGTCATAAGACTATGTTTTATGCAACATACATGGCTCTTTAGACAATAAAGAGCTAACAGTACCCGGAGCTTTTGGATAGTCAAATCTTAACACCAAGAGGACTTCAGAGCCAATTATGATAGAATTCTACTCCTCATTAATGCCCAAAGGAATTTGGCAAGCCATTATGTAAAAGAGCATGATTTTCATCAATGTTAAGAAAAAAAAATCATAAGCAAGGGACATTAGAGACGTTCTAATCATTTTGTGCCATGTCCTGAGAAACTGGACACATGTTAATGTTTTTTGTCAAAACTCATGGAGCGTATAAGAAAGGAAACTCCATCCACACCCAGAACTAAAGTGTTGAGTGTGGAAAGGAGACGCTAGCCCAGGATCTTCAGTTCTGGGCTAAATTAAAATCTTAGAAAAGGAAATTCTTATCTTGAGATGTTTACAAACACAGTATAGATAATGTCTGCTTTTTAATTAATGCAATTTTAAAAAGAAAGTAAATGTTCTGGTTGAAAAAAACCTTTTTATGTGATTTTTTTCCTTTGATATTTGAACTGTTTTACTTTATAAAACAAAGTTTTTGATAATTCAGTAAGGGATGTAGTCAAAGAGACTTGGACTAATCTTTAACCAAGAATATTCCCCTATCACGACAGCTCTCAGAGTGTAATACTTTTCTTTTTCGTATCTTTTGATCTTCACCAGTAACCACCAACCCCTGCAAGAGGTAATAAAAATGATGTGTGTAGATACAAAGAGATCTTATTGTCTTTGGCACATATTACATAGATAAAATACAAACAATTTTTTTTTTTTAAGAGACAGAGTTTCACTTTGTCACCCTCAGTAGAGTGCTGAGGCATCACAGCTCACAGCAACCTCCAGCTCTTGGGCCTAGGTGATTCTTTTGCCTTAGCCTCCGAATAGCTGGGACTATAGGCACCCGCCACAATGCCTGGCTATTTTTTTGTCACAGTTTGGCTGGGGCTGGGTTCAAACTTGCCACCCTTGGTATATGGGGCTGGTGCCCTACTCACTGAGCCACAGGTGCCCCCAAAATACCAGCAAATTTTAACCATTGAAAGTAAGATGTAGTAAGACCAGATAATAGCTCATATACAGTTATATGGATATATTTTATTTTAGTGAATCTACTGTGATATTTGAAGGCCCCATTTAAAATGTAAGTATGGGAGTTATAACATAACTCATATTGATTGATTCATATTAAACACATTTTATTGCACTACACTCATGGGAAACAGTGGTTAACCACCCTTCTTGGAGCTCGCATCTTGGAGGGAAGGTTCACGTGTTAACCTGACGGAGACATGTAGAGACTGAGCATCAGCTTCCACCAGCACGAGTGTGAGACACTGGCATCTGTGCTCAAATACGAGGGTTATTTCATGTTCTGAAAACAAGCTCCCCTTTTCTGATCATCACCACTTAACCACACAGGTGGGCCGTGCAGTTAATCTTGCTCCATAACCACAGCTGATGGGACCAGAGAGTACGCTAGACCCTCAATGAAACAATCAGATGACCTTCTCTAGGATTTATGACTAGTACCTATGATAGAATCTACACCATGCAAATTTATTCTAAAAAGACATGTAGTTTAATATTTGAACTAGAAAGTTTAAGGACAGAAAAAACATCTAGTTTTTTTTCTATTTATTCCTTTCTTTAATATTCCACTGCATTTCTGCCCTTGTGGTGTAAAAATACTTGTGTTGCAGTAAATGTCTTTGATTCTTTGATTAACCTAGCTCAAAATGCCCTTGTTTCATTAAGTATGTGTTTCTTTTATGTAACGACTAGGTGAAGAATCAAAGATATACACACATATCAATAACATACATCAGTTATGCATATACATACACATCTCTCTATATACCTACATATACATGAGTGTGTATGTGTGGGAGTATATATATAAAGGTTACTGGTAAATCTTCCAGAAGAATATTTGATTTTCAAAATAATATTTAAAAGACTAGATTAGGGTATTGTATGGGGATATATATAGAAACTAGTGATACATACTCATGACAATAGTGACAAACATAGAAATATTGAGGCAACCCTCCTCTGTGGCACGTTGTAACTCCACAGCCAATAAGGAAAGACGTGGCCCAAACAACCTGTGAGATAAATGGTTATTTTGTTACAGATTTGATATTTCGTCAAATAGCTACAATATCAATATTGCTACCCACAACTAAAAGTAAAGAAGTTTGCCTTTGAATATATCATGGGCATGGCTTGATAATAAGTTTGAGAAACAGAAGCGTCACACGCGTCTAGACAACACGAAGGTGGAGGCACCCACATGGCTACAAGGAGGGGAAGGCAGCTGGAGAAAGTCAGGTCAGGGTGACAGACGCGGGTCACGTGAGGATTGGCAGTTTCTCTACGTATAGTCAGTTTAATTTTCTTTGGAAACATGTTAGGCTTCCAGATACACTTTTTAGTTTAAAAAAAATCCCAATATTCATTTTCTTTGTGATATGACAGGCAAGTAGAGAGAGGGGATAGGTTGACAAAGAGTGCTATTGATTATTTTGCATTGAACAGGCTGATCTTCAAAAGGATCTTTTCTTTATTTTTGTTATTAAATCATAGCTGTGTACATTAATGCAATTGTGAGGTACAATGTCTTGGTTTTATAGACAATTTGAAATACTTTCATGAAACTGGTTAACATAGCCAAAAGGACCATCAAAGCTGGTGTTCTGTACAGAGTCTATACGTGGTTGTTCACAGGATTCATTTATATTCATGTGTGATAAGAACCCTCTGTCAACTCTTCCTGACTCATTCTTACTAGAACTAGGAAGTTTATTTATGAGTTTTCCCTAAGAAACATGATGGCTATCATCAACCCGAGTTGAGTCTCTCCTTTTCCAACCTATATGGAGAAACAGTTAACACGATGAAGGCTGCTTGGTGGTTATATAAAAATCAACGTATCGAAGGAGCTTTTCTTATTGGTGCAAGAGAAGTTATAATGTACAATTCTGAGCTGGCTTTTCGTGACCCAGATTTAAATTCCATCTCTATCACTTCTGGGCGGGGTAGTACTTAGCAGTCTGCATTACGTCTCAGAGTTGCATTTTCTCCTCCATGTAATGAGATATAATGAAGCTTCTATATTATAACGGAATGTTGGGAATTAAAAAAATGAAACATTTAAGTGGTTGGAAGAGAAAGTGTTTTCATTAAGTGTGCTTTCTCCCACTCCACCCCCCTTTCTTTCTGTGAGGCTAGAGAGGTTTCTCTCTCAGCTAGTCCTGGAGACTTCATTTCCAGAGCTTCATTCCTGTTCTTTGGAGTAGTTGGCTGCAACTTCTTTTGGTAAAACTTGATGTTTTTCCTCGCAGAGAGAGGCTTTCCTGGGCGCCATCCTTCCCCACCCCACATGGCCTTTATTATCTGCTGCTAATGAGGGTAGGCCTTTACCCAAACTATTGCTCTACCTGAGTGTGCAAAAATGTTGTGATGTAGGTTTGATATTTGTAGGTTTCTCCTCTCATTCTAACAAATGCATATCTACCATCAGAGACCCTGTTGAAGGCTAATGAAGCTCATAATTAGAAAAATAATGTTGATGATAAGAATACAATACAGCATCTACTTTCTATGATTTCTCTACTAGTTCTTTCGGAAATAGGCAAAGAGAAGATTAATTTTTATAAAGCATGTTGTGTTTTAAAAATGAAGTGGATTGAGTTTGCAGGAGACAAATCAGATTCTTTGCAGATGCTGAAATTTTACTAAATCAGAATGACAAAGCTATTTCTTGAACCAGTGAGCTCAGGCAATCCACCTGCCTTGGCCCCCCAGAGTCCTAGGATTACAGGTGGGAGCCACTATGCCCGGCCATGACAAGGCTGTTTCTTTTGTGAGTAAATATGTTAGTTTATTTTTATACAAAGGAAATGGTAGGAATTGATGCCAGAGATTTGTCATATTTTTAGCTCCCTGAACATTCATTTTATTTGTTTCTTTTAATTAGTTTATAACAAAAAATTACGTGATTTAATAGTCTGGTGTTAAGACAAACCTGGATTCCTGCTGCATTTCTTTGTGTCTCAGGGTATTAATCTTAAAAGCAGAATGGCATTTCACTTAGGGTTTCTGCATTGGTATCTACAAGCGATTAAGCCTATGATTTTAACATGTTTCCTATTTGTCAGCATTTAACATTAATTTTAAGTAGGCTTTAAGTAGATTTTCACTCTAGATTTTGTGAAAAATATCAATGGACACACCTAAATCTCTGTTTTGGGGGATTATAACTATTTTGCAACTTTCTATATTTCTTTTATATCTCTTGTGAGATAAGATTTGGGAATTTGTATTTTTCTGAAAACACTCTACCTAATTCAAATATTCAAACAAATTTACTCATTCTCTAATTGGCAGTCCAATAACTTTAAAATATGCATCATACTAAATTACTTCTACCTAGGATCCTACCATGACTTCTCACTGCATTTGAAATAAAGTGTAAGCTTTCCAGCAGCTGACGGGCTCAAATGATATGGTCCAACTTCCTTTCTCTTCTGAATCCCTTCCACTTTCCTGTTAATCCAGGTCCAGCCTCTCTTCTGACCTCACCTCCAGTGCTTCCTCTGCCTTTCAACACACCTAAGTTTGAGATATTGTTTTTTAAATATTATTTTCCACTGAAAAAAATCAGTATTCCTTGGATAAATGCATGATTTTTCCATTCTAAATGCAAGAGAAAACTACGAGGTGGTGCTAGAAAGTGCTACCAGATTTGAGGCCAAGAGATACTGGACACCTAATGGAGTCATGGCCAAAAAGGCAGAGCTGATGGACTGAAATGTCTCCATTAGCTTATGGAACAATGTGAGCATCTACATGACACATTGGATTAAAACAACAACACAGGAGGCTGTCATGATCATGTGAGAGAGAGCTAGAAAGAGGAAAGACAGAGAGAGACAGAGGGAGAGGACACGGAGAAGAAAGTTGAAGAGTTATGACAGAAAGAGAGCTATAGGTGAAACGCCTATGTTCCTCTGGCCAAAAAAGCCGTTTGAGAGACAGCAGTGAAAACACTTTGTGCAGGCATACTTGTGAAAAACTGAGGCAGAATCCCATGTGGCCAGGTTAGTTGCGGGCCTAACATGACCGAGGCTTTGGCTGGAATAGCATTTCCAGACTGTGTTAAGGAATTAAGGTTGACTTTATAAGGCCAATGAAAAAGCCCTTTGGAAAACTGGCCAGATACCCATCAGTAACCTTTTCTGATCTGTGGTGTGACGAAGGTTGCTTGCTGACAGATCTGGGAATGGAAATCTGCTAGGGGACCTCAAGAGAAGAGGAATTTGGCTCCATGCCTGTGGCTCAAGTGGCTAAGGCACCAGCCACATACACCTAAGGTGATGGGTTCAAATCCAGTGTGTGCCTGCCAAACAACAATGATGGCTGCAACCAAAAAAAATAGCCAGGTGTTGTGGTGGGCACCTATAATCCCAGCTACTTGGGAGGCTGAGGCAGGAGACTCACTTGAGCCCAGAAGTTGGAGGCTGCTGTGAGCTGTGATGCCATGGCACTCTACCCAGGGGGATAGCTTGAGGCTCTATCTCAAAAAAAAAAATAAAAAAGAAGAGGAATTTACCCAATGCATACAGGTATCTAATGGCACAGATGAAACTTGGGCTCATGAAAGACTTTTGAGAAGTCCAGCCTGAAAATTCCTTATAAAAGTCTTCCTCTCTTACTTACATGCTCCCAAATCACTGAAAGCAGGGAATCAAACAGGTATTTGGACACCTATGTTCATAGCAGCATTATACACAATAGCTAAAACATGGAAAACAACCCAAAAGTCCACCTACAGATGAATGGACAAACAAAAGGTAATATACAGACACACAAGCACACACAGTGAAATACTGTTTAGCCTTAAAAATACAAAATTCTAACACAAATTAACAAGGCAC